CTGATACCTGTGACTGATCTCACTGAACTGCCTCCTGGGATCACAAAGCCCTTCTACCCCCAATGGCCAGTAACCACACTTGGACCTGGTGTGTGGCATCTCCTCATTTTACCACTGAGGAAGGCAGAGGCAGGGACTTTGTCTTGTTGACAAAGAGACTCAGAGACGTTTATAACCTGTTTAAGGTCACACAGGGTGTGAGGAAATAGGTCTGTAAGAGAAGCAGCATAGAGCAGTGATTGTCATTTACAGCCGGGTCCAAAGGTATATCTGCCACATTGAAACTGTGTGATCTTGGGGACATGACTTCACCTGTCTGAGGCTCCATTTCTTTGTCTGTATTAATAATGGCTCACACTTAAAAAGTTCTCACTATGTTCCAGCCTTGTTATTTGTCTATATTAACTCATTTAATCTTCACAAGGGAGGTCTGGTAGCATAGTGCCTAAGGCACTTGACTGATAACCTGAAGGCTGGCGGTTCAAACCTACCAGCCACTCCTCGGAAGGAAGGTTGGGCAATCTACTTCCGTAGTGATAGGGCCTTGTAAACCCAAGGAGGAGTCACTATGAGTCCGGTCCGGCACATAACAACAACAACAACAATCTTCCAAAGCTCCATGAAACAAGAGCTTATTTCACAGATGAGGAAACTGAGGCACAGAAAGGTTGAATTGTCCATGGTCTTACAACTAGTTTAACCCAGGCTCTGGATGCCTGTGCTGTAGCATGTCTGCAAATTACAGACTCATTTATCCAACAGATATTTATGGAGCACCTGCCACAGGCTAGGCAGGCATTGTTCTGGGGATATAGGAGGAAACAAGACAAAGTCCCTGCCTCAAAGGTGCCTACAGTGAAATAATAATAATAAAATCTCACTGCCATTGAGTCGATTCTGACTCATAGCGATCCCCATTGGGTTTCTGAGGCAGTAAATCTTTACAGAAGTAGATTGCCCAGTCTTTCTTCTGGGAGTGGCTGGTGGGTTTGAACCGCCAAGCTTCTGGTTGGCAGTCAAATGCCTTAGGCAGTATGCCACCAGAGCTCTTTACAGTGAATAAAGGAGACAGAAAATGGGCAAAGACAGATATATTTCAGGTGGTAATTGTTGTTGTTTGCTGTCCAGTCAGACGGACTCATAGCGACCCCTCTTTGGGTTTCTGAGGTGGTATCACAAGGAAGTAGATTGCTTAACCTTCCTTCCGAGGAGTGGCTAGTAATAGGTACGATAAAGAAAATCAATGCCACTGGATAAGGAGAAAGACATTAATGGGAGGTGGGTGGTTAGGGAAGGCTTCTCAGAGGAAATGACATGTGAACTGAGAACTAAGAGAGTGAGGGAGGAAACCATGGTGATATCAGGGGAATGGGGGTTTCATGCTGAGGGAATCACGTGTGCAAAGCCCCTGAGGCTAGAGTGGAATGAGCCATTAGTAGGTAAGGGTGATAAAAGGAGGAGTGGGAGGAGAAGTCACCTCACCTGGTCTTTAAAGGCCTTGGTAAGGATTTTGGAAGTAACAGTACCCTCTCATGCACAGGTATTGTAAGCTGTAGCAGCTAGGATGGAGTAAGTACTCAATAAAACATCATTAATATTTTTTTAATTGTGGTAAAATATACATAACATAAAATTTATCATTTAAACCATTTTAAAGGGTATAATTGAGGAGCATTTAGTATATTCACAATGCAACCATCACCACTATCTAGTTCCAGAACATACTCATCACTCCAGGAGGAAACCCTGTACCCATGAAGCAGTCACTCCCCATTCCTCCAGTTCTTGGCAACTACTAGTCTGCTGTATGGATTCTGTCTCTATGGATTTGGCTGTTCTGGATATTTCATATAAATAGAAAAATACAATATGTGTGTGGCCTTTTGAGTCTGGCTTTTGTGTTTGTATTTCACTTAGCATAATGTTTTCAAGGTTTCTCCCTATTGCAGCATTGTGAAAATGGCTCAGTGGCAGCATCTGACCTCCTTTAACTGCGTGAGGGGAAGAGAATCAGCATCAGCATTAGCTCAAGGCAGATGCCAATGAAGCAGAGGTCAGACATACCTCCTTTCTCTAACCATTCTACCAGTTTTGACACCAGCCTTCCCTCCCATGGCACTCTCTACTTCTCTGCTGGGTTCAAAATTTGGTGCAATGGCTACACAGAACTCACAGACAGTACTCACGATTACGGGGTTATTAGGGAAGTAACAAGGAGCTCTGGTAGCATAGTGGCTAAGGCACTTGACTGCTAACCAGAAGGCTGGCGGTTCAAACCCACCAGCCACTCCTCGGAAGGAAGGTTGGGCAATCCTACTTCTGTAGTGATACTGCCTCGGAAACCCAAGGAGGGGTCGCTATGAGTCGGGGCTGACTCGACGGTATATAACAACAACAACAGGGAAGTAACAGGTTACAATTCAGGGTCAGGAATGACTCAGGATACAGTTCTTCCTTCAGGATAGCCTCTTCTCAGCTATGCAAACAGGCAGGCTTTTCTTTGGTCCTCAGCCCCTTGGCCCAGCCTCTGACCTGCTCCGGCAAGTGTTACAAAGCTCTTAAGCTCCAACAATAAGTGCCCAGAGACACCACATTCCACTCAACTTTCTTTCTCTATGGGCCGGGAAGACCACCACACTGTCTCCTGCCAGTCTCCTGGTTCTCTGCCTCTGCTGCCACCATTCTCTGCTGCTGCCACTGTTTCTTACCATCTCCAAAGTTACAGCTCTGTCTGTCTCCTGGATCTAGGAGGTTCTCAGCACAGGGATTCTGAGTCCAAACGATGTGCTCCACTCCTCGCTTTTCTTTCTTGGTGGTGGTAAGGTCCCTCCTCTACCCTGAGATAGGCTCTCTATTAACCTAGCTGACAGCAAGACTAACCAGTCCCCTCATTAAGGCTCTATACACCTTATTTGCATGGTCCTATCCCCATAAAGGTGTCATGGACCTTATTTGCATTATTAGTAAGCTATCCAATCCCCTTGGTGGGCCATAAGCATCTCATTTGTATAGTCCAACTCAGTCATTTGGTAGTAGTTACAAGACTGTGGTGAGAAAGACCATATAAAAGTGATCCATTACACCACAAGCATGTATCAGTACTTCATTCCTTTTGTTCATTTGTTTTTGAAAATATTTCTATTGTGGTAAAATATATATAACAAAATTTGTCATTTTAACCCTTTTTTTTTAAGTGTATAACTCAGTGGCATTAATTACATTCACAATGTTGTACAACCATCACCACTATGGGCAAAATTTTCAACATCCATAACAGAAATTTTGTGCCCCTTAAAGAATAACTCCCCATTCTCCATCCTCCCCAGTCCTAGCCAACTCTAATCTACTTCCCATCTCTGTGAATTTGCCTGTTCTAATTATTTCCCGTAAGTAGAATCATACAGTACTTGTCCCTTTGTATCTGATATTTCACTCAGTGTAATATTTTCAGGGTCCATCCATGTTGTGGCAAATATCAGAACTTCATTCCTTTTTGGGTACCCATTTTTATAGACATTTGCTTTCATTTCTCTTGGATTAATACCTGCGAGGAGAATACCAGGTTACGTGGTAGTGGTGTTGAGTTGATTTGATTCCATCTCATGGAGACCTCCCATGTGCAGAGTAGAACCACTCCATAGGGTTTTCAGAAGCAGATTGTGACCTTTCAGAAGCAGATTGCCAGGCCTGTCTTCCTGAGTGAGCTTGAATAGCCAGCCTTTTGGCCACTAGTGAAGTGCTTAACTGTTTGAGCCTCCCAGGACTCAGAATTTACTTATGGCTGAATAATATTCCATTGTATATTTTATCTATTCATCTATTGATGTACACTTAGGTTGTTTCCACTTTTTGACTATTGTGAATGCTGCTGTGAACATAGGAACTCTGGTAGCATAGTACATAAGGCACCTGACTGCTAACCAGAAGGCTGGCGGTTCAAACCCACCAGCCACTCCTCGGAAGGAAGGTTGGGCAATCTACTTCTGTAGTGATACTGCCTCAGAAACCCAAGGAGGGGTAGCTATGAGTCATGTGTGACTAGACAGGACACAACAACAGCAACAAGCTGTGAACATTGATGTACAAGTATGTGTTTGAGTCCCTCCTATCAGTTCTTTTGGGGTGGAATTGCTGGGTCATAATAAGAAGCTCTGGTGGTGCAGTGGTTAAGGCATTTGGCTGCTAACCAGAAGGTCAGTGGTTCAAACCCACCAGCTGCTCTGTGGGAGGAAGATGAGGCAATCTACTTCCATAAAGATTTATAGCCTTGGAAACTATGGGTCACTATGAGTGGATTTGGTGGTGGTGGGGTTTAATAGCAGTTCTAAGAGCCCTGGTGGCACAGTGGTTAAGTGCTGGACTGCCATCCATAGGGTGGGCAGTTCGAACCTAGCAGCCACTTCCCAGGAGAAAGATGTGGCAGTGTGCTTCTGTAAAGATTTACAGCCTTGGAAGTCCTTTAGGGCAGTTCTACTCTGTCCTATAATGTCACTCAGTCAGAATCCACTTTTGGTGTAGTAACTCTATGTTTAACTTTTTGAGGAACTGACAAACTATTTTCCATAGCAGTCACTAATATAATTGTTATTATTATTGTTAAATTTTTTTGAAAAAATTTTAATTGTTAACTATTATAATAAGGAGTTCTGGTGGGCCAGTGATTAAAACATTCAGCTGCTAACCATAAGGTTGGAACTCATCAGGCCTCGGCTGGAGAAAGCTGAGGCAATCTGCTTCTGTAAATATTACAGCCTTGCAAACCCTACGGGGCGGCTCTACCCTGTCCCATATGGTCACTGTGAGTTAGAATCAACCTGATGGCAGTGGGTTGTTGGGGTTTTTTTGTTGTTGGTTTATTGTTGTAAAGCCTCTGTTTCCCTCTAAGGGAAGCACCCTTTTTGGCTTCCTCTAACTACTCCCACCAGTGGAACTCTATACCCTGGTGGCTGCTCACTGGAGATCCTCTTGCCATTCTTCCCCCCTGCCACCTCTTGCAGGTGTTTGGCGACGTGGACCAGGTCCGGATGACCTCTGAGGGCTCAGACTGCCGCTGCAAGTGCATCATGCGACCGCTGAGCAAGGACGCATGCAGCCGAGTGCGCAGTGGGCGTGCGCGGGTTGAAGACTTCTACACGGTGGAGACCGTGAGCTCGGGCTCCGACTGCCGCTGCTCCTGCACCGCGCCACCCTCCTCACTCAACCCCTGCGAGAACGAGTGGAAGATGGAGAAACTCAAGAAGCAGGCGCCCGAGCTCCTCAAGGTAGCATTTCTGGGGTGAGGGTGGGGGCAGGAACACCACCCAAGTGGGTGCTTATCCTGGGCCAGGAACGACAGTCTCACCAGTGAAAAGTTCATACATTCTGTGAGGCAGTTGCTATTATCATCCCCATTTTACAGGTGGGGAAACTGAGGCTCCATGAAGGGAAGCCACTTCTTGCCCAAGACTATTCAGCCAGTAAGTAATAGAAGCAGGATTCCTTATGGCTGGTTTACCTCACTCCAGCCCATTTGACACATTCCAGTGCCCTGTGTTTTAGCCTAACCAATTCATCTGGCAGCTCATGTCTACATTGTATAGTTAATGGATTTCAAATGTTGTGACATTTTACAGCTTTTAATGTAGTAATAACATTTTCTATATTCAAGCATTACTTGCATGCCAAATGCTCTGTGTTGAGCCACTTTTGCACATTATTTCTCTAAATCCCTAAACCGTCCCGTGAAATAAGGGATCATTGTCCTCATTTTATAGGTGAGAAAAGTGAGGTTTGGAGAAGTTAGGGAACTTGCCCAAACTCAGATGATGGGTAGCCTCATGTATATACTATACTTTTGTGTGAATTACAAAAAGCCCCAGCTCTAGGCAGGCACAGTGTTCTGGTGGCACAGTGCCTAAGGCGTATGACTGCTAACCAGAAGGTTGGAGGTTGGAGCCCATCAGCCACTCTGTGAAAGGAAGACAGGACAATCTACTTTCACAAAGATTCACCACCTCAGAAACCCATTGGGGGTCACTATGAGTTGGAATTGACTCGATGGCAGTGGGTTTGGTTTTCGGTTTTTTGGGTATGCAGATTAGAAAGAGGCACCACCTCTGGGAACACAGTGCCTTGCCAGAGCCCACCACCGGTACCCATGGCTTAGTTAGGAGCATGCAGGCCAGATCTCAGTCCTCACAGCCAGCCAGGCATCTTTGTGCAATGTGTACCATGCTCAGCTCAGTGCTTGGTGGGCCTGTTGGGGCTGGGATGTAATCCCAGGTCCTGCTATGTCTAAAGCATGTGTTGTAAATCCCTTCATTCTCCTGCTTTTCTTTTTGCAAAGGACCAGATTGTGTGGTGTCTTTTGAGAGTATCTTTTTTCTCTTCTAACCTCTTCCAAACACATGAGCTTTTTTGGTTTTTTTTTTTTTTTTTTTTTTTTGCCTGTTGGGTATCAAGAACTGTGAAGGGTTACCCTACTTGCAAACTAACAAGTTTGCCTGGCACAGTTTCGTGGAGGCTGGTAGAAGACAAGAGTCTCTTGAGTCAGAGACACAGGATTTTATTACTCCTAGAAATAGCATTAGCCAAAGTACAGGCCACTTCTTCCAGCTCCAGTTCCCGCAGGGTAATGCAATGAGGGCTAGATAACACCTGCACACACAGTGGGGTATGTTACAAAAAAGGAGTCCCAAGCTTAGGGAACTTACATCTTTTATAATGGGCACTAAGCATGCTGCCCTTTGCCCTAGAGGGAAACACTATCTCCATCTTTCAAGCCTGTTCCTTGTACAGCCAGATAACCCGGAACAAAGGTAGTCAGTGCTTCTATATACAAGACATGTAGAAAAGCAAGAGTCTTGTGGAGAATTGTCTCCCAATATTTGGCTAAAAAGGTTTCTTTAAATTTAACTTTAAGTTTATTATTGTAACACCTGAATGGATGTCTAAATTCTCAAAGTTTGAGGGTGGGATGGGGTGATGGTGTTGAATTTTAGGCCAAGTGGTCTCTTGACAACTTGGAAGTCTCTAGGCTGTGCTGTCTCCCTGGGGCCCTGCAGAGTAGGCACCCAAGCCTTAAGTCAGTCCTCACTTACAGGGAAAAGCTTCTGCTCAGATCAACCTCTCAATAACTGAGTTGTAAGCCTGCCCTCTATCTGCTCCAGCCCCACAGGCTGCTTGTCAGTTCCTCTAACACAGTGCTTCTCATATCATTTGTGGTGACAGATCGATTTAAAAGTTTCCAATCTGTCATGAACCAAAACTTTTATAAAGTACTATAAAAATGAGTTGCTAGAAAAATGAAACGAAACAAAAACAGATACACAGACTACAAGTCCAATGTTTTATTATTAGAGTCAAGAGATATAAAATTACTCCATCCATTGGATATAAACATTTCTAAACTCATACTCACATTTCTATGATGAGAAGGACTGGTGACGTGCAGTTTGGACCAACGCTGTTCCACAGACCATAGTTTGAGTAGCACTGAAACAGTACTGAAACACACCATGTTTTTTTCTCACCTCCAGCTCTTTGCATATACTATTTCCTTTGCCATCTTTGCATAATTTGAACTCTTTCTTCAGAGCTCAGCTCAAATAAAACTTTCTAATCCTGGCAGCCTTCCTTAATCCATTCTCACTCCCACTTACGGCCAGCATCACTCATTAATGACCTGGGCACCTGCGTGTTCTGAGTGTGTTCCTTGACCGCTTATGAAGATCCTGAAGGGTCCATGTCTGTGCTGCTCATCATGGTCTTTAGTGCCTGGCTCAGGGCCTGGCTACTGAGGTCAGAAAGGGTGGCCCGGGTAGATCACAGAGGACTTGGCTTCCAGTTTCAGGAGACAAGAGGCCATGTGTGGGCTGTGGGAAGCCCCCGAAAGTGATTTGTTGTCGTATGCTGTTGAGTCGATTCCAAGTTATTGCGACCCTTAGGACAAAGCAGAAGTGTTTTCTAGGCTAAAATGTTCATGGGAGAAGATCACCAGGTCTGTTCTCCCATGCAGCAGTTGGTGGGTTCAAATCACTGACCCTTTGGTTTATGGCGCTGAACATTACACCAACAGGGCTCCTTAGAAAGTTATCTGCCCATGGTCAAAGCTGTGCTTGGGGAAGTTAGTTTTGGTGGACATGAAGGCAGCAGCGCTAAACCAGGAGCTTCCCACTTAACCCCATGGAACTATTATCATTGCTGACATTCATGAAGCCCTTGCTGAGTGCCCACCCTGTGCTGAGCCCTGTCTAGACACTTACTCCTGACCACACCCCATTGCTCCATTTCACAGAAAAGGAAGCTGAGGCACAGAGGGGTGTCTGTACATTGTTCCCGAAATGTACTCACAGAGCTCTGGGAGTGCCATGCCAGCCCCTCAGGGGCCTGAGTGGGATTGTAGGGAAGCAGAAAAGACAGCTTCCATCAGAGCCCTCCACCCCCTTTTTTTCTGTTTAAGAGATCAGATTCCACTCAGAGAAAAGCTGCCTGGCTTCATTTTCTCCCTGGCTTTAAAACAGTTTGAACACCCCTTGGAAGGTGGGAGTAAAACTGTTTGGGAAATAGCTGGCCAGGGCCAGAAAGGAATGCTGGCCATGGTTGGGCCCTGAGAAATGCTGCAGGGCTCAGAGTGGAGCCATGTGGAGGGTGGGCTGGAGAAACTACCCTTCTCCAGAAGCCAGGGAAGGCTGATTTCCCAACCAGCCCCTTGTGCCACGGTTTCCCTGACACTCTGGCTGGCATCTTGGCCATCTGGAGAAAAGTGTTATATCCTGATGAGGTGCAGCTGAGCGGGAAGGGGAGGGGAGGGAAGGGGCAGCTTCATGCAAGAGCCCTGGGCTGGGCAAGGGAGATTGGGGTCTGTGCCAGGTTCCGCTGCTGACCAGTTGTGCAAGCCCCTCTCTCTCCCCAGGCCTCAGTTTCCCCATATGAACATAAGATAAGAGCAAAAATGTGTGACAGGAAAAAGGCTTTGTTTATAACATCTGGGCTATAACATCTGCTTCTGGCTCTACTATTTAACAGCTGGGTGGCCTTGAGCTTCACCTTTCTGAGCTGCAGCTTCCAAGTCTGTAAAATGAGGATAAAAGTAGTTTATACTTTGACTTATGTTGGGTGCCTACAGGCAGACTCTGAGATGAGGAGCTGTATGCAAGTGATTTATTATGAAAGTGTTCCCAGAGAAAACTGATCATGAAGAGGGAGCAAGAGGATAGGAAAGGGTCAGAAGCCCAGAAGGCCATGATCTCAAGCAGAACCTCATCCTCATCCTCAGGGGAGCCAGGAGTGTGAATCACAGCTTAGTGTGTCCCCACTGGAGCTAGAGACCTGGGCTTTTAGACATCTATACTAGTCAGTCATTGCCTAAGAGCCACTCCAGGGAGGCATACATCCCCAAGTACTTCTGGGAGCACAGTGGATCCAGTAGCCCAAGGGTGGTCTTCAAAGACAGTCATAGTTGCAGGTCATTAGGCCTCAGAAGCCAGGGATGGGCATAGACACAGTAAGAGGGATCCCAGGGGATCTAGATAGAGGTCCTTTGAGGTATATGACACGCCTCCTGGGGTTGTTATGAGGATTAAGTGCACTAACTCATTAAAGCTCTAGCATGGTACTGCATACATAGTAAGTGCTCAACTGATGGAATCTGTACTTTTCTTGTGAATATTAGCAGGCTCGGTCTAGTGAGCACTGAAGGTCCAAGCAGGACATTCTGAGGCTCAAGGGTCTGGTGTTCTTAGCTGCTGTGGGGCCTTCTCACACCCTTTCCCTAACTCTAACCCTGTCTTGGGCAGCTGCAGTCCATGGTGGATCTTCTGGAGGGCACCCTGTACAGCATGGACCTGATGAGAGTGCATGCCTATGTCCACAAGGTGGCCTCCCAGATGAACACGCTGGAAGAGGTAAGGGTGGGCTCCAGCTGGAGGCCAGGCTGGTGTAGTGACACAGGGGCCCAAGGCAGCTTGATGGCCACTGGAAACGGACTCCAACAGGAACGAAGGGGGCGAAGCCAAAGAGCCAACCTTTGAGGAAGAGATCTGACTGTTGCTCAGGGACTTACAGGAAGCTTGAGGACTGGAGAAATGGAAGTACCTGCTGGTGATATGGGAAGGGCTTGGAGGGTGCTCTCAGTTCACCAGGGCCAGGACCTACATTGTACAACTCCCAAGATACCATTCACATAGAATGTCACGTTGAGTGGTGCCCTCTAGGGTCCACAGCATGGCAGGAGTGCAAGAAGCCCACAAGGGCCAGGATGCACAACTATCCCATCACCCACCTGCAGTGGAGACAAAGGTGCTGAGAATCCACTCCCGGTCAGAGTGAATATGCTGCAGAGCTGAGTGGGTGGCTGGGACTTCCCCCTGTGGATACAGACAGAGTTGAGTGTGGGGGCTCAGGAGGTCCAGGTTTCAGGTTTGAGGTTTGCATATCTGCTGGCACAGCCTGGCCTCTGCCTGTTTCCTGCATCCGGCCTCTGCTGAGCCACTTGGAACCTGGGAACATGCAGCTGCCAGGAGCAGGCGTAGGTGCTTCCTTTCCCAGCTTCCTTTCCAGAGGGAGGGGGTACCTTGGCATCCTGTGCCCTGGAGTGAGAGATCAACCCTTTACTAATCCCAAATTTGGGGTCACAATTATTTAAAATGTATTTGATGAGTATCTGCCATGTACTAGGTCCATGACCACATGAGAGAAAGCTAACATTTGTTGAATTTCTACCATGTACCAGTATTTCCTGTGTATGCCAAGCTCACCATTGTTGACTCTGAAGTTACCCTCCTCTGACCTTCATCCTGCATTCTCAGGAAGTACTAACTCACTTCACATAACTCAGAGCCAAATGGTCTGGAGGGTATGCCTGCTGGGCCTGGAACAAATCAGAAATAATTTCCAAAGCCACAGAGAAAACGATTTTTTAATTATCTTCTGTTTTGTATTATGTGCTTTGCTTCTGTTAACTATGGTTTACTAAGTGATAACCCTATGAAAAAAAGCTTTTTGCTAATTCTGCAAGGAGGTGGGGGGGAGTTGGCTTCCTCTGCCAAAGGGAAACCATCGCAAGGAGTCAAGCCCCAGTTTCACTCTGTTCTCTTCCCTTATATAAGTGGTTCTCAGCCAGGACTGATTTTGCCCCTTGGAGACATTTTTGGTTGTCACAATTAAGGGAGTGAGGTAGAGGCCAGGGATTCTATTAAACATCTTACAATGCACAGGACCTATAATGCTGAAGTTGAGAAACCCTGTCTTATACACTTTGACTTCTTTCTTCCCTATAGTCTAATTTCTGTGTCCCTATAACTACAGACTCTCTTTGGAAGGTTACACAAGGAACCCAAAACAATGGTTGATACTGAAACCTTCCTTAGTTTTTCTGGTCCTTATAGTAACCCTAGAATTTAGTTATTATGATAATGAGGATCCCCATTTTACAGTCAAGGAAATGGAGGCTCAGAGGGGTAAAGTCACTAGCCTGGTTACCCAGCCAGGAAGTAGAGATCAAGGATTTGAATCCAGGTCTGTCTGACTCCAACCCTGCTACCTCTTGGTCTCTGAATCTGTGTTTACACCAAGGGCTAACCTGACATAAACTACTTTTAGGGTCTCTTCTCCTCTGTAAAAATTTCTAGGAATGAGATTCTGAATTCATAATCCACTGCTCCATAGCCTCACAACAAAGAAATGCTTCCTGAATCTGACTCCAGTCTCTTTTGCTTCAACTAGGAAGTAGACTCAGACAAAGGAATTTCAGATATATTCCAGATCTACTGGGGCTTTGGGAACCTAGGGATGATCACTGCCAAGGCACCCAGGTTTCCTGAGTCCTACCCTGTGGGCAAGGCCAGGCCTGGGCACAGTAGGAATTGTTGGCCCAGCAACAGGGAATCCCGGGGTAATGGGGGATACACAGAGAGAGAGCATCATGGTTCTGAGCAATTGATCTGTTCCTAGCAGAACTTAGGACCAGGAGTAGACTCAGGGGATGGGGGCTTTAAGAATAGGAAGGGAGCCAGGGCCTTCAGCAAGAGGCCAATGAGGCAGGGCAGGAAAACAAAAATGGGAGTAAAGGCAGGCCAAGTAAGTGTCTCAGGAGTAGCCAACACAGCCTAGGAGAGAAGTCCGAAACTTGAAGAGTAGAAAGGATCAGAGACTCACCTACAGCAAAATCCCAAAGAGTTGCTATCTGCATTGTTTGAGTAATTTATAAAGAGAAGGTATTTATGTATTATTTATGAATGAAGAAGTAATTTTAAAGTTACTAGAAGCAACCTAAATGGCCGTCAATACGGGATTGACTAAATACATTAGGCCCATCCAAACAATAGCATACTGTGCAACCATTGGAAGGAACGGGGAGCAATAGATGTACAGATATGGAACAGCCCCCAAATAAGCTTCTAAGTGACACCCATGTTCATCGCAGCAGTATTTACAATAGCAAAAAGATGAAAACAACCTAGGTGTCCATCAACTGAGGAATGGATAACCAAACTATGGTACATACACACAATGGACTACTACACCAACACTAAAGAATAATGTAGAATCTGCAAAACACCACATAACACAGATGAACTTTGAGGACATTATGCTGAGTGAAATAAGTCAATCACAGAAGGACAAATATTGTATTAGTACATTATTGTAAAAAGTCAAGGAAAGGTTTACATATGGAAGAAAACTTTGTTACCAGGGGTGGGAGGAGAAGAAAGGGAATGCTGCACACACACAAAAAAAAGTGCACTGACCCATGTCATTTTAGTTTTGTGTATTTCACTGTACATAAATTACATTTCAATGAAATGTATTTTTTTAAAAAAAGCTATGTGAAAAAGCAAAGTGTTAAAACACAAAATGTTAACAAGTGTCATATATATAAACATATATGTTTATATATATATTTGTCCCTATAACTACAGACTCTCTTTGAAAGGTTATACAAGAAACCCAAAACAATGGTTGATACTGAAACAAAAATGAAAGGGAGACTTTTTTTTTTAATCTTTTGTTATCTTTTTCATCTAGTACCATGACCATGCATTTTCTATTTTTTAAAATTAATTCATTTATTACCTTTAAAAGAAAAATAAACTACAAGGTCCTTTAGCAGCATGCTAAACATATGCTCATTGATGCCACCCCCGCCTCCATCTCAGAGCTTTGGTCAGATTAGGCAGCAAAGCCTCATGACAGAAGCTAGGGTGTCCTCCTAGGTGGGGTGTCTGAGGAAGCTGAGAGAGGAAAGATGTTGGGTGCCGCCCCCACAGAGCATCAAGACCAACCTGAGCCGGGAGAATGATGTGGTGAGGGAGAGCATGCGCCAGCTGAGCGACCACCTGAAGCACTATGAGAACCACTCGGCCATCATGATGAGCATCAAGAAGGAGCTCTCCAGCCTTGGCCTCCAACTGCTGCAGAAGGACCAAGCCACCGCCCCTGCCACTGCCCCAGCCACAGGCCTTGATAGCAAGGCTCAGGTGAGGCCATTTCTCTGATTAGGGCACAGCAGGTGGGGGGGGCTTGGGAGCACACTGTGCTGGGACCTGTACCCTGACAGCCAGCTTGGTGGAGGTCTAATGCTGTAGGACAGGGCTGAGTGGCAGTAAGGAAAGGTGAGCTGGGTATAGACGTAGGGATCCAGCCAAGGGACTGGTCCCAAAGCCAGGTGTTTGGCAGAGGTTCTCATTCCCAGGTTTCCAAACTAGTGGGAATGAGGTTGTGGAAATGACCTTTCCTGGCTGGACTAGATGACCAGGTTAGCTGTCAAACAAACAAACAAACAAACAAACTCACTGCCGTCAAGTCAGATCCGACTCAGTGACCCCTCCTTGGGTTTCTGAGGTGGTATCACTACGGAAGTAGAGCACACAATCTTCCTTCCAAGGAGTGGCTGGTGGGTTTGAACCGCCAGCCTTCTGGTTAGCAGTCAAATGACTTAGGAACTACGCAGCAGACATTATCTCAGCTAATCCCATAGCCACCTGTGAGGAGGAATGATCATTGCCCAGTTGTTAGACTAAGAAACATGGACAGAGGTCACACAGAGAGAAGGTGGCTGGGCTGGCACTGGAACTCAGATCTGCCTAACTGCTAAGCCTGTGTTCGGGCTCCTGTGCTGACACTGGGATAATAAAGCTGTTTGTGTCTGCAGCTAAAACTGCCTAGATGCAGATAAAGCATGGAGGAAGCCTGGTGCCTTGGCCCAGAACTGGCTTCCTGTTCATTCCAGTGCCAGCTGAGCATGCAAGAATGAATCCTGTTTTGGCAATGGCACAGAAGCATGTCTAGATAGATACTTTCCTTACCATATCTCTCAGATATTCTGCCTAACAATGGATGATGACACAGGCCCTGTGTTCTTGTGCCAAGCCAGCATCAGAAGTATTTAAAAGGAAGTGAAGAATAAAATTCACAAAACGTTAGAAACTGCATGTCCTCTGGGTGGGGTGACCAACCATCCTGATTTGCCCAGGTCTGAAAGGTCTTCTAGGATGCGAGATCTTCTATGCTAAAACTAGGAAAGATCTGGGCACACTAAGTTGAGTTGGTCACCTTATGCAGAGGCCTGAGAACCTCTCCCCTGCCTACACACTAAGACCAATGAGTAAGAGAGACAGGGCTGGGGAGCTGCCCAGGGAGCTGATCGTAACTAGAAGGAGCAGTAATTAGGAGCTGAGAAATGGGTCAGGAATCTATCTTATTAGGGTGGACTTCAAGCCTGCAGGGAAGCTAGAGAGCTGAGTGGGGAAACTGGCACCTCCAGTCATGGATGGAGCAACCATTGGGGGTGGTTAGGTAAAGGAAGCTGTGACTTCATGCACATGTGGAATGTAGGGCCTAGAGCAGAATGATTGATTCCAGCCCCTACATGCTGAGCTTCCATGACATCCTGGGAAGGGTCCACACTAACTGCTCCCAACATCCCTTCTAAAAAAAAAGACCAAACTCAGTTGCCATCGAGTTGATTCCAACTCATAGCAATTCTATAGGACTGAGTAGAACTGCCCCATAAAGTTTCCAAGGCTATAATCTATGGAAGCAGACTGTCACACTTTTCTCCTGCAAAGCAGCTGGTGGATTCAAACATCTGGTTAGCAGCTAAGCACTTGATGACTGAGTTACCAAACCCCTACATCCCTTCTACCACCCCTTAAGTCTCAGACTTCCTTTCTCCCCCAGGACACAGCTGGGGGAAAAGGCAAAGACACCAACAAATATGGCAGTGTGCAGAAGAACTTTGTAGATCGGGGTCTCCAAAAATCCCCTAAGGAGAAGCTGCTGAAGACGGAGAAGCTGAGGAAGGAGAGTGGCAAGGGCCGATTCTCCCAGCCCACAGCCAAGCCTCGCACCCTAGCCCAGCAGCAGGCTGTGATCCGGGGCATCACTTACTACAAGGCGGGAAGGCAGGAGGCAACTGAGGCCCTGGCTGGTGAGTTGGAAGGGGAATGGAACTTTCAGGGCAGGGGTTTGCTGATGGATGGACCACAATGCTCCAGGGATTCCCTCATCTTCTCTGCAGTCAGACAGTCTTAGATTTCAGCTTCATCAATGACCTTTGTTCATCCATGAAATGGGGACAATGCTCTTCTCGTGAAGTTGTTAAGGATGGAATGATATAACCAACAGGAAGGGCTGCTTGCTTCCTTTCCTGTATTTCAAGCCATCTCCACCCTCACTGGGCCTTTCTTTATTCATTCAAAGGTCTGTTGAAGGTCTACTATGTACCGTCAGAGGTGACAGGGAACAAGAGAGACTCAGTCCCTGCCCCCATGGAACATTCCATCTAGTGGGAAAAACATATGCATGATCAGGCACAAATGGGGGTGGGAGAACACAGGAGCTACAGCCAGGCCTGAGCATCTGGGAAGTGACATGGGACTTTGGGGCATCTCATTTGCAGACTAGCTTTGGAATGGATGGCCTTGTCAGCTCCTCTCACTTCTTATGAAAAAGCCCATGGACTTTTGTATTCTTCCTGCAGTTCCTGTGGAATCCCACTAAAGGGCAACAAAGTGATTCACCAAGAAACAAAAGAGACAAAGGTTCTAGGAGCCCCCAAGTCTCTGACTCTGCCCTGCTGGTTTTATCTCGATTCCCACTCTGAGATCCTCCCAGATGCATGCTTTTCTCTGATGCCTCTGAGAAGGACCTCTGCTTCCCATTTCCTGGGCCCTGATGATAACTTCCTTCAGTGAAGCTTTCTGTCCAGCCCACATCCAAAAGGGAAGGGAAGTGGGACAGTTAGGAACCAGTGTCCTTCAAGAGTCTCCTTGTTTCTTGGCCTCTAAGGAGCCTCCTAGGGACCCCTCAGCTATCACCACTCCCATATCTCCTGGTACCAGCTGCTAGCCCGCAGCTGTGCCAGAGCCAAGGCTTGGTCCCAGAACAGCTGCAGGCATCTGACTATGTCAGCACAGTCCATGGGAACAAGTCCCCTAACCTGACAGCCTGCCAAGATCAAGCTCCCTAGAAGATCTGCTCCTGAAGCAGGGCCTGGCTAAGCCCCTGGGCATAGAGGAAGCCCAGCACAGGGAGAAAATGAGGTAGTCAGGTACATAATTGTCCTCAAGTCAAGGGGCCTCTGTGCTCCTTACCCCACCGAGCAGGCTGTCCCTTAGGGACCAGGGCATCATCACAACAGTGTCATTGCCTTTTCCCTGGCATCACAGCCTCCTAATGCTTTCACATATGCCATCCCATTGGATCCTGATAGCAACCACATTTTGTAGGTGAGGAAACAAGCTTGAAGAGATGAGGTGACTGGCCCTGCATTTCATAGCGAGGAGGTGGTCGAATGGTGCTGGAACTTCCTACTCCACTCTGTCCCCAGAGCTGAGAAGTCTTTACCCCTGGCTCTGTGGCACTGAGTCTTCCTCCTTTCCCTACACAGACCTCATTTGTCCCAGCCTAGAGAGGTGTGTGGGTTAGAGATGACCCAGAAATGGCCCCAAAACCAGGCTACATGGGAGCTGAAGAAGCCCTCCCCCTGCCAGGGGGGTGGAAGAAAAAAACAACCCACTGCCATCAGGTCAATTCCAAACATAGCGACCTATAGGACTGAATAGAACTGCCCCATAGCGTTTCCAAGGCTGTAAATCTTTACGGCAGCAGACTGTCTCATCTTTCTTCTATGGAGCAGCTGGTGGGTTCAAACCGTCGACCTTCTGGTTAGCAGCCAAATGTCTTAACCATTGTGCCACCAGAGCTCTTTGGGGGGAGGGAGGGGGGTAATACCAGGAACACCTGAGAGATAGGAGATAGGAGTTAAGTGAGAAGATAGAGAAAGGGACACATAGGTCAGAGGTAAACTGGCTGCACCTGCCCTTGCTGCCTGAGGTGGCAAAGACTTGGGTGAGTGAAACCAAAGGGTAGGTTCAAGGAGAGAGGACAAGGGTTTCTGCCTCCTGGAATTGAACCTAGGAAATGAGAGCATTGGCACCAAGTGCTTACCATCTAGGAAGAAAAGGGGTCTCATATATAGTACCTCATATGCCAGAATCTGTGCAAACATTTTATGTATGTTTTCCTCTGATCAGCAGAGCAGCCTCCTGTCACGAGCCTCATCACTCCCATTTCACAGAGGAGGAAGCTGAGGCAGGGGGACTTGCTGAGGCCACCCAGCTGAAAAGGGCAGTGTCAGGCTTGGAGCCTGGCTTACTGGACATGAAGTCTTCCCTGCCTCTCACTTTAAGGCCTTTCACTTCCTTAGGGTCCTCCCCATCACCTCTTTTAAAAGATGCCCAGAGCTGCTAGGAGCCCATTGGATGTGGGCAGGGCCCCAGGGGGCATCAGGTGCTGGGATATTAACTCAGAGTCTTCTCTCCTCAGACAACACCCTCAAGGGCACTTCCTGGCTAGAGCAGCTGCCACCCAAGGTGGAGGGCAGGCCACTTGATCCCAACTCAGCGGAGCAGGACGAGGCTGGGCCCAGGGCCTCAGAGGGAGCAGACGTGGCCCTCAGCACCCCCGCCTCGGATACCACTACCACCACCACCACCACCACCACCCCTACCCCAACTCCCACCACCAGTCCCCTGCCCACCACGCTGCCATCACACCCAGAAGTCCCCAGCCAAGGTAAGTGAGCCTCACAGGGGTCAGCAAATTACACCCTGTGGGCCAAATCCAGCTTGCAGCCTGTTTTTGTACACCCCTCAAGCTAAGAATAGTTTTCACATTTTTAAAGGGTTGTTAAAAAAAAAAAAGAAAAGTAATATGTGATCTGCAAACCTAAAACATTTACTATCTGACATTTTACAAGAAAATGTGCTAACATTTAAAATGATCATAAAACGCACATATCTTCACTAAATTCTTCTTAAAGTGTTACCTAGAGTCCCATCATCAAATTCCAGTCAGCAACCACTTTCATGTTTTTATTTCCTCTGTCCAGTCTTTGACCCTCTGGTTTTATGTCCACATTTGTAGTTTTGGTTTATGGAAAGAGTCAGAACCTTCCTGCTTGTTAAGTCATTGATTCCATCTTTCTGGAAGGTATCTTGGCTACCTGTGAGAACAAGTCTTGAAACCATTTCCTGCTTTGGGGCAAGTGCATCCCATATCTAACAATCTTTCCTGAAAGATCCATCAGTGATATGGACAACAGCTGAAGCTCTGATTTAACCAGTTCTATTTCTAACATCAGACAACTGGAAGTAACCTAAAGGTCTAGCACTGGGGGACTGGTTCAGTAAGTTAAAGGACACAGCTGTCTGGTGGGCCTGGTAGAATCTTGAAATCACATCATTAAAAGGCTATTTAATGATGTGAGAAATTGCTCAGTGGAAGGGGAAAACCAGGATACATAAAATTGTATATTCAGAAGAATACAGTTTTTAAAAATATGTATGACTGTACATGCAAAGAAAAAAAGAAAAGGAAGGAAATATAATACATTTAAAAATGTCTTTGGATAATGGGATTTTGAATTATTTTTATTTTACCCATTCTCCTTTTCTGAATTTTCCATGTTTTCTACAATGATCAGGTGTTATATTTTAATCATGAGGAGGAAAAAAAATACAGGTCACAAACAAAACATCGGGAGGGATTTAAATTAGATCCAGATAATGTTTCTGGGATCGTTGGTCTAGCTTGGGGCCTCTGGGTCTGTGCACCAAATGCTGTGCCCCTCACTCCCCACAGGCAGAGAGGGGAGCTGTGAGGGCACCCTGAGGGCCGTGGACCCTCCTGTGAGGCACCACAGCTATGGCCGCCATGAGGGTGCCTGGATGAAGGACCCTGCAGCACGGGATGACAGGATCTACGTCACCAACTACTACTACGGAAACAGCCTGGTGGAGTTCCGCAACCTGGAAAACTTCAAGCAAGGTTGGGGTCCCCAAAGATGGGAAGGGGCAAGATGGGGTGGCCTGGAGAGGGTCCCCATGGAGACTTGGCCCTCCTTTGCTGTGTGGTTTCATGTGGTCCCAGCCTGACTGGATGGTCAGTATCCTAAGGAGGGAGTCTAGAGACACTGGGATAGGGACTGATCCCCTGGCACCCCTGTGTACTGGCACTGTGTCAGGAGCTAGAATGCAGCCATGCCCAAGGTGGACATGGCCCTGCCCTCACGGATATAACTTACCCTGGAGGAGAACAGTAATTACAGTTTCCATTTGTTGAGTGCTTACTATGTGCTAATCATCCTGTGTGCACTAGCTCATGGCATCCTGATAACTCCATGAGCTAGGGGTCATCATCCCATCTTACAACAGGGTTCCAGGCCTTACAGGAGCTGCAAGTCTGAGCAAAGACTATTAGCACAGGGAAGGGCAGGATTGTGGTTACCAGATCTGGGGCATGATAGGAAGGGTCAACATTCGGACATGGCCCTACCCTCCCAAAATACACAGAATGGTAGGAGAAGCAGAGGCTTAACAAGATAATTTCAGTGCAGCTGTAGAGGGAGAGCTCCAGGGACTGTGGAAATCCAGCCTGGAGATTAGGGACAACTTCCCAGAGGAGGTGATGCTGATCTGAGCCCCAGCAGAAGAGCAGTAGGGAGAAACACGAGTGTTCCAGGCACAAGCCTCAGCACGTGCAAAGGCCTGGTGATGAGAGGAAGCATGGTGGCATAGGGAGAGTACAGAGGTTGGGTAGTGGTGAGAGAGTGGGCTGGGACGGTCCTCATAAGCCACATGAAGGAGTTTGGACTTAACCCTGAGAGCCATGCAGTCAAAAGGTTTGGGCTAGAACAGCTAAAGTTTTTCCTCTGCCAGGTCAAAACTGGCCTAATCCCTGCCTTCAACAGCTCACAGGCTAGTGGAGCAAACCAGGGATAAATGCTAAGATAAAAAAGTCTGTGGGATTCCAGAGAAGCAGCCCTTGCTTCAGCCTGGAGAGGTCAGGGAAGGCATCTTGGAGGAGGTAGCATTGGCTGAGGGCTCTGAAAGTAGGCATTCCCAAGGCAGACTGGATGGGGAATGGCAATCAGAAGGAACAGTGTACACAAGGCCTCTAAGACAAAGCATGGATGCCAACATCAACCTGCCTTTAAATCCTGGCCGTGCCATTCAGTAATGGGGTGATCTTGAGTCCCAGGCAAACAGGATGATAATAGTACCTCCCTCGTGAGGCTGTTCTGATGTAATAAGATGATTAGCACAGCTCCAGCCACATAATATAAAACCACAAACCCAAACTCACTGCCATGGAGTCGATTCCAACTCACAGTGACCCCCAGTGGGTTTCGGAGGCAGTCAATCTTTACAGAAGTAGATTGCCCAGTCTTCCTTGTGCAGAGTGGCTGGTAGGTTTGAACCTTAGTGGCCTTAGTGAACCTTAGTGAGCGTAGTGCCTTATGCACTTCGCCACCAGAGCTCTTTGCCACATAGTATGCTCAATATCAAATGCTTGCAGGGCTACTTGAGAGCTGTTGGCAGCCTCAGAAGTATGTGGGTTGGCCTTATAGACTGGTGTAACCATTCGCCCTCCACACACACAGGCCGCTGGAGCAACATGTACAAGCTACCCTATAACTGGATCGGCACAGGCCACGTGGTATACCAGGGTGCCTTCTACTACAATCGTGCCTTCACCAAGAACATTATCAAGTACGACCTGCGGCAACGCTTTGTGGCCTCCTGGGCGCTGCTGCCCGACGTGGTGTACGAGGACACCACGCCCTGGAAGTGGCGCGGCCACTCAGACATCGACTTCGCCGTAGATGAAAGCGGCCTGTGGGTCATCTACCCCGCTGTGGATGACCGTGACGAGGCCCAGCCCGAGGTGATCGTGCTGAGCCGCCTGGATCCCGGCGACCTCTCAGTGCACCGGGAGACCACGTGGAAGACACGGCTGCGGCGGAACTCCTACGGCAACTGCTTCCTGGTGTGTGGCATCCTGTACGCGGTGGATACGTACAACCAACACGAAGGTCAGGTCGCCTACGCCTTCGACACGCACACAGGAACTGACGCTCGCCCTCAACTGCCCTTCGTCAACGAGCATGCCTACACCACCCAGATTGACTACAACCCCAAGGAACGGGTGCTGTATGCCTGGGACAATGGCCACCAGCTCACCTATACCCTCCACTTTGTGGTCTGAGCAGGGACCCCTGTCCTCCCAGGAGAAGGGTGGCAATGTTGGCTGGAGGCTCCCTGCGGCAATTCTTGCAAAGGACCCTGTCGACAAATATTTATTGGGTGCCAGGCCCAGAGCTCGGTGCTAGGCACTGGCCGTAGCTGAGATGGAACTTCCTTAGCACCAGTGGGTAATAACCGCTTCCACTTACAGCACTGTGCCAAGCGCTTGACATGCATTTACCCATTTAATCCTCCCAGCACCACCCTTGGAGGTAGAGATGACTTCCCCCATTTAACAGATGAGGCAAAGGCTCAGAGACAGTGTCCCTTGCTTAACTTCTCTGTTTGGATCAGCCAGGGGAGAGTCCATGTGCTCACAACAACCCCATTTTACAAAGGAGGAGATTTGACCTTGGCCTCTGCCGCTATCCAGCCCTGAGTCTGTCTTGTTCTCACAGTTCTCTCTCCCTTTCTGGGATCACACAAAACCAGAGGCCTTTGGGGTGAATGCACTAGTGCTAGTTGGAGAACCTGCCTGTGCCTGATTCTGGTTGAGCTATTGGTGGCCCTGGATTTCAGGCCCCTTTGGTCAATATCCCTGCTCCTTTGGCCAGCTGCCCCCCCATTCCACCCCTCCCCACCGGCTGTCCGGCCACATTCCAAACCTCCACCGTCACTCGGCCACTGGGTAGAAACCACACCCCAAGAGAAAATACTGGCCCCCTTTCCAAGGCCCCCTCCCTTCAGTACTCATTTTTATTTTCTCTTATTCTTCATCAGTGCCGTCATTTGCTTCTGCAGCAGCAGCTGAGCAGGCTGCAGGCAGCTGCTTGCCAGCAGCGGCTCCACCAGGGTGGGGAGATAGGCTGGGCCCTGAGGCTCCCTCTCCACCCAGAAGTGCTGGCTCTGGTCACATACCCAGTATTTAGGGCTCCTCCCTGGTTCCTTTCAGAGCCTGTGGGCCTGGGCTCCTTCTTGTTCTTCCTCTCTGGGCCTTGGAACCTACAACCTCTATGTACTCAGGGATGCCTCCGGGTCTGCCATGAGCTGGGCCTGAGGCTGCGGTGATGCCAGAATGGAGCAGGTTCCCTCTTTCTTGTCAATCCTGAGTTGGTCATTTGGTGGGGTAGCCCAGCAGCCTGGGGGATTGGGAAAGGCAGAGGAAAGGGTCAAGGGGAAGCATCAAATCTTTCTTCTGGTTGCAACCCAAAGGGCAGAGCAAAAAGGAAGGGGTAGAGGTCCATGGGCAGGGCTTTTCCTGGCTTCAGGAATATCGGAGTGCTGAGTCACAGCCAGGTTGCCCAAGGCCAGGACATGGGGCTAAGGATGTACAAGAGGACAGCCTTGTCAGGTACTGCTGATGGGCTCTCAGAGCCTCAGACCCAGGCCACCCATGAGGACAAGACCTTTCAGACTGCCCCTTACCCATTTTTTACAGTATTACAGCTTGAAAGAAGTTCTCTAGTCCAACTCCCTGTTTCACCAATGGGGGAATAGGCCCAGAAAGGTTTAGCAGGCTGCTTGAGGTCACAGGGGAAGCAGGACGCAAGCACTGTTGTTTCAGAAGGGCTTTGTCTATATGCTTTGTTCTCCTGACTTAGGGGCACCTTTGCCTTGGAAGGCAATAGACCACCTAGCACCCGAGCCATCCCAACATCTTGGAAGGGTATTTACTGCTGGTCCCTACACATTCCTTGGGCCCTTCCAACTCCTCCCTACTCTGCCACCATGATGGTTCCCAGAAAATCTGAGTGTTTGTGACCAACTACCACATTAGTAAATTCAGCTGCACAACCGACACTCTGAGCTACAAAGGATGACAGCCTTTGGGAGAAAGCTCTAATATGTAAGGAAACGCATTTTGTGCAGAACACATTTCTTTCAGGCATTGTCAGGTGATGTTGTTTTGTTTGAGCTGTAACACACTCTTGAAATAAAGGGAATGATGACGCCCAGCCAAGCAAGGTCTGACTCATAGCGGTGGACACATCCAGCTTCCTCACCCACCCGGCCACTGTGTTCCACGCACAGATTCTTCAGGGGGCTGTGAGGCCTCAGCATTTCCCTTGGCTCTGGGTGTGGGTTTTACATGACTGTCTCCTGTGATATCACAGCCCAGCCATGTGAGAAGTGTTCAGGCCCCTCTTTCTCCATTAGTTGGCAAAAAAGGAAAGTTAGAATGGGCAGATTTTGAAACATAAAGCGTTGTTCTCCAGTGGGAATGAGAGGAATCAGAAACTGTAGGCTGCAGCACCCAATCACTAAGGCTTGTCTGCTTTCAGGCCCTTGTACAAGGGTTATATGGTAGGTAGTTGACTTCATTTTACAGATGGTGAAATGAGCCCACAGTTAAGTCACTTGTCATATAGGCAGGAAGCAAGCGAGCCAGGTTCTAAAGTCAAGTAATATGATGACCATTGTCAATTGAGCACCTACCGTATGCTACTATGTGCATGCTACTACATTCATGTCCTGGCATCTTCACAACAGTGGAAGGAATATACTCTGAGTGTGCCCATTTGACAGATGGGAAAACTGAGGTGAGGAGTCTTCCCAAGGGTCACACAGCAGCTTAGTCCTTAGCAGTCAGGATTTCAGGGCTGGTTGGAACATGTTCTTGCCACTAAGTGACACCACTTAGTGGTAACTTCAGAAGTAGCCATTGTTTTTATCCAATGTGGCCAGACCATAAACTGCATCCAAAAAGGAAACCTAAGGAGGAGGTAGGGGTCAGCTTGTAAAGAGCTTTGAATGCCTAGGCAAGGAGTGACTGCCTCCAGTTATGTTTGGAACAAAGTGAAGTAAATATTAACAGAGAAAAGAAATTTTAAGACGATTGATTTTGTCCCATCAGTGAGGGGAGTTAGGGAAGGGTTCTTGTTATAGGGGGACTAGAGCCAGCCCACAACTGCAAACTTGTGAGCTCTGAAGGAAACCTGATCCTCATCAGCTTTTTCTTATGCACCCCTGGGCTTTATTACATTTGGCAACAGGTATTCAAACAAGGTGAGGGCCTGGAGTGGAACAGTCAGCGTCTCTACTGACCTTGGTTGTCAGGGCAAAGGAAGTTGACACTAGTGTTTCTGAACAACGTGATACATAAAGGGGCTCTGGCCACCTCCTCTGACTGCCCCCTGGAGATTTCCAAGCCCTGAACTTAATCTACTCTGAGGAGGAAAGCAAGGAACCTGTGCCTTGGAGGTTAGCAAGAAAGGTGAAGCAAGTGGTTTCCCTGGAAATTATTTGAGGGCTCCTGAAAGCCCATGTGTCCCAAACCAACGCTTCCTCCATGCCTGTAGCATTGGAATTCACTCTGGCAACAGAAGGACACAGCACTGAGAAGGAGGCAAGGAGCCCTAGGTTTGAATGTGGCTCCACCTTACCATGCGGCAAACCTGGGCCAGTTCTTTCTCTTGCATGGTAGAAATGTTAACTCTTATGACTGAAGACATGTGACTTAGTGAGGTCAAGGGGCAGCAGAGGGCTCAAGCAACGTCCTCCTAGAACTACAAGGCATCTTCCCATATATTTCCATACTAATCCACAGGAATTTCCAGGGTTGCCATTATTTTCCCCATCACAGGTGATGAGCCTCAAGTTCAGGAGGTTAAGCAACCTGCTCAGGGTCATGTATCTAACAAGTAGTTGAGTCAAGATATAAACCAGATCTGTCTATACCAAAGCCCTAAACTAACTATTGTTAGGAATTTGTAACTAGTCATGTTTTCTTTGCTTTGACCTCTGGGAAGCTCAAAGTCAGATTTGAGATCATTTTTAACAATTGTACTGAGTCTCCTACTGGGCTCTGGCTTCATTTTGGCATTCAGCTTTTACCTTTACTCTGATCTCTTTATTTTTATTCTATTGTATTTTATGTATTTTTATAAGTTGCCACAATACCTTTTTGCAACAAGGTGGCATGTACCTAAATAAAACATAAATAATGAAAAGCTTGGTTTAAATTTCTTCACTAAATGGCATGGTCTGCATCCTTATCAGAACACATATATTTAATATATTTTTAAAGTTTGTGGTGTGCTAAGAATTGGCCTCATCTCTATACTGTTGCCAGAAGCTTATTTGAACAATGAGCTATTGCAGAAGAACCCAACCCTGGCTGGAAACCTTATATTAACGGTAAAAGGAAAGCCAGTACCAATGACTAAAAGCAGAAGGTAGTCAGGATGGTACATTGAAAACAAAATATTTCAATAGATACTGTGCCTGCCTGAGCCCCAGGCCCCATGATGGTCCTTTGTTAAAAAGGAAGATTAGTGAGCAGCAAGTGTTCCAGAGAGACATTAAGGGCAACCCAGTGCAAGTGCACTTTGTCCTTGATGTAATCAGATGGATGGGATTGAAAGAGAATGGCTCTCTCCCACATGACTCAAGGTTGCTTCAAGAGGTGGCTTAGATACCACCAAGGAGCTCTCTCAAACCACCCATAGGTGACATGGATTTAGACCAACTCCTTCTCCCCTCTACACACACATACATACACACCTACCCAGGCTCTCTCAGCAGCAGGCCAGCCTCTGCTAAGCCTCCGTAGAGCCCCTGCCTTTCCTGGGAGCTGGGCACTGTCGCGTGGCCCCTAGCAATGACAACGCCCCACTCTCCAGTGGACAGACCAGCCAGAAGCTCAGTGCCACTCCTGCCACTGCAGAGGCTGCTGGGTCCATGTCTTTCTTGTCCCCAGAGCCTACTAGTGCTGACCCTGGTCTAAGCAGACCAAATATAGCTGGGCTTTGGGTAACTTGAACCATGGTCTCTCTCTTTAGACCCTTCCTCCAGGCCTAGTCCCACCTGCTCCTCACTGCATAGTCTTCCTCAGCCCAAGAGCTCCACCAGTAGGGTCTTTGGATCAGCTGTTCCCTCTGCCTGGTACACTCATACCCACACCTGTGCATGGCAGCCTCCCTCTTGTCATTCAGGTCTCTGATGAAATATCACCTCCTTAGGAAGGCTGTTCCTCGAGGCTGGATATAAAGTTGGTCTCAGTTACTGATTCTTCCACCTCTTCTTCATTATTGTTAGGTGGTGTCAAGTCAGCTCTGCCTGATGGCGACCCCATGTCTAACAGAATGGAACACTGCCTGGCCCTGCACCCTCTTCACAATTACTGGTAGAGTAGAATCCATCGTTGTAACCATTGTATTTTGAGAACCTTCCAACCTAGGGGTTCATCTTCTAGGATTGTATCAGACAATATTCTGTTGGGCTGCATAGGGTTTTCACTGGCTAAATTTTAGAAGTAGATTGCCATCATCTTTCTTCCTAGTCTGTCTTCGTCTGGAAGCTACACTGAAACTTGGCCACTATGGGTGACCCTGGTGGTATTTGAAACACCACTATCATA